AGGAAACAGAGCCCTCCAGTTCTGGGGACAGCAGAGCCCTGTGCTCCGGCAGGGGAGACCCCCTAGGCCTCTCACTGCAGGGCTCACAGAGAGGTTCATCCCTGTGTCTGTGCTCGGCCCTCTCTCCCTCCCCGAGGGGCTCCTCAAGTGTGTGCCTGCACCAGGTGACCAGGCACAGACCCACCCACCCTTAGATCCACTTTCCAGATGCCTTCTAATCTTTCCTACTTTTTACTCCTCCCCCAAGTAACAGGGTGCACAACGTGGAGTCCCACACCTCCAATTCTCCTCCCCGAGCGTCAGCTCCGTGTTCATCTGGGGCGTGCCAATGTTGGCGATTTTTACAGAACCCGCTTAAAATAACCTTTTAGAACAGTGTTACATTTACAGAAACATCGCCAAGACGGCACTAAGTTCCCATATACACTGCTATTATTAGCATCTCACATTAATACGATGCATCTGCTACAACGAAGGAACCAGCACCGAGATGTGTTGTAACCAAGGTCCACCCTTTAATCGGATCTCCTTAATTTTTAGCTGATGTCTGTTTTCTGTTCTCGGTGGCACATGCATCTGATGGCTCCCCGGGCTCCGGGCTGCAGGTTTCTGGCTGTGTGACCGCCTCAGCGACCCCATTCCCGTGAATGCATCTGCTGGTGCTTGGGGACCTGGCACCCCCGCCTGCTGGCCCCATGATGTCATCACTCTGTGACCCTCAACCACAAAATCTGGACACTGAAAGGTCCCCTAGCAAGCATGGCAGCTGCCAGACTTACTTGGGTGACACAGGTGGAGGACGTTTACCATGGACGAGGACAAAATAAACTCCCGTGGGCTTGTTGGTCTCCAGGACAGATTTCTCTGCCTCTCCGGGGAGTGCAGGGCCAGCCTTCAGTGCTGGTGCCTACCCCAGTCCCTCCTGATGGAGACAGTGAAGTTGTGGGCTTGTCCTGTCTCCTCCCGTTTCTTCTTCCTGTTGCTGCTCTTGGCTGGAGCTTCAGGAGGTGATGGCCACACACCCACCTCCCAGTCCCAGGCCCGCCCCCTTCTCCCCCCCAGAGCAATCATTACTTCGGGCCCACGAGGCCGGTCAGGGATCACAAAGGCTGTTCTGCATCAGGGAGGCCTCCTGAGAGGCTTTTCCATAAACCCCACACTTGGCAGATGCCTCCTCAAACAAACCGGTTCACATTAAAATTCCACCCAAGACTCAGAGCAGCTAGTTCTGGCCTGACGGGCCGGAGGGCTCTGAGGGGATTTCAGGTTTCTGAAGGTCAGCGGCCACTGCTGGTGAGCACGCCCTCAACCCGTGTGGCAGTCAGGGCTCCCCGGGAGACAGACAGCACGCCAATGACCTTAACGGCAACAATTAACGCGAAGGATGTTCACCAGGAGGGAGCTGTCAGCACGAGTGATGAGGTTCTGGCTAGATTTCCATCCACCTGGCCTTGTTTTCCTTCTTTTCTTTTTCTTTCTTTTTTTTCTTTTCTTTTTTTTTTTTTAATATTTTATTGATATTTTATAGAGAGAAAGGGAGGATAGAAAGTTAGAAACACTGATCAGCTGCCTCCTGCACACCCCCGACTGGGGATGTGCCCATAACCAAGGTTGTGACTGGAATCGAACCCAGGACCCTCCAGTCTGCAGGCCGACGCTCCATCCACTGAGCCAAACCAGTTTTGGCTGTTTTCCTTTCTTTACGTTGTTGCTGCGGGAATCTGCTGCTGCTCACGTGGCTAAGGATTATTTGCCTCATCATCTAAGAGGAGAGTCTCATGTGAACGGGTCCACGCAGTGTCCCTTCTATTCGTCTGACCCCGGCGGGCCTGTCGGTGCCTCTGTTAAGGGGATTTTCCCTCCATAAGGAAAATGCTACACCAATTCCCTTTGTTGTAGCATCTTGCCATTGACACACCCAGACGCTCACAGGAGGTAGAGAGCACTAATGGGTGTCATTACCGGTGCATACGTGACCACGGTTGTTCCTGTTATGTAACCCAGCGGGCACGCTTCCATCGCTGTGATTTCCATCGGGCCTGCAGGCGGAGGATCCCATTCTGCCTGGAATGAAAGAGGCCTTGTTCTGTTGGAGGCCTGTCCCATGCCCCTCCCCACCCCCCTTTCTCTCCTGGAGAGAATTTCAGAACTACTGAATAAGGAAATAATGGCATTGCCATGTACCAGTACCGCACAGTTAGTGTGCTATTTGATGCAGTGGTCCATGTTGTTTTGCTTGCAAAATTGGCTTAGATTATCTTGAATTATAGGAACTGTCAGAAAAGCAGTGCCGACAAATGACAGTAATGACAGTTTTTAGCAGAAAGGGAATGGGTCCGACTCGCTGATGCACCGGAGCTGCTACTTCTAAACACATTTAAATAAAACTCACTGGTGATGGCACCGTGGCAGTCGTAAAGGGTAAAACAGAAAAACCAGAGCTGTTTTCCAACCTATCGGCACCTTTTTAAAAAACAAAACTAAACAAATTTTTATTGACATCAATGACCCCACTCTGGAGATCGAGAAAAAGGGAGAGGGATAGAGAGTTAGAAACATCGATGAGAGAGAAACATCCATCAGCCACCTCCTGCACACCCGCTACTGGGGATGTGCCCACAACTAAGATATATGCCCTTGATCAGAATCGAACCTGGGACCTTTCAGTCCGCAGGCCGACGCTCTATCCACTGAGCCAAACCGGTGGTTGTAGAGTTCGTTGGCCCAGCGAACGAACTAGTTTTCGGCTAGTTTTTTTTTCTCTGAAAACATTTTTATTTGAAAAAATGACAAACTATGCTTATCAAGACATGAATGTTTGGCCAACTTTATTTAAAAAAATTAACCAAGTGATCCTGCCACTCAAAGCAAGCAACTGACAGTATTTGTGGCCACTGATAAAAATTGAGCTTTCAAGCAAAAATTAAAATGTTGTGAAACATGTATTCACTACCATGTGCTTAACAGCTTCGCTTTTCATGATTTTTAATATTGAATAAATGGGATGTTTCAACATTTGGAAGATCTGCAGAACTCAGTGAAAGAATATTTTTCAAATAGCTAATGCATGATGTTATAAAATCAAAACTGGGTTAGTGATCCAATTAAAGTGCAAGAAAAAGATTTGATGTAACTGAGGACAGTTCATTCATTGATTTTGGTTTCCGATTCAACATTGCAATTAACCTTTAAGAAACTACCACTGTGGTTTAGATGTTACATCAAATAAATACCCATGATTAACTAACTCCAAAGGCTATTAAAATCTCTTTCTCAATTATCTGTATGAGGCCAGATTTTCTCAACCAGACATTCATTTAGGCCTCTTTCTCTCCTCCATGCTTTAGTTCTCAGTGTAGTGGTCTTGAATACCTTTTCAGTTACATTCGTAGGTATTTCAGTTTGGGTGTTACCATCAATGGACTTATTTCATTTTCCAGTCGTTGCCACTAGTATTTATATTTCATTTTCCAGTCGTTGCCACTAGTATTTAAGAATACAAGCACCTTCCTGGCCGGGTGGTTCAGTGGGTTGGAGCACCGTTCCGTATACCCAAAGGTTGCGATTTCAATTCCCAGTTAGGAAAATACCTTGGTTGCAGGTTTGATCCCTAGTCGGGTCGCTGTATGGCAGACAAGCAATTGATGTTTCTCTCTAAAATCATTAAAACATATTCTTGGGTGAGGATTAAAAAAAAAACAACAAACCACGTAAGTATCTAAAAGGTCTTGAGCCGAAACCGGTTTGGCTCAGCGGTAGAGCGTTGGTCTGCCGACTAAATGTCCCAGGTTCGATTCCGGTCAAGGGGCATATACATTGGTTGCGGGCACATCCCCGGGAGGGGGTGTGCAAGAGGTAACTGGTCAATGTTTCTCTCTCATTGACGTTTCTAGCTCTCTCTCTCCCTTCCTCTCTGTAAAAAATCAATAAAATCTATTTAATAATAATAATAAAACCCCTCAGTGGTTTCCCATTTCCTTTAAAAATAAATAAAAGCTGCCATTGTCCCACTTCCAAGACAAACCAAATGTTCTGACTTTCAGTGTATTTTTAAGAGATCCACTTAATATTTTCCAGCAAATATTAACTAGGAAGTCTCTGAAATTCAAGATTGCCAAGCCAGGTATAAAGGGCACTAGGGTTCACCTCTCGTTTGGGGGGCTTCTCAGGTCAGTGTTAAAAGGCTTCCAAGGCCCTCTAGGACCGGAGCTTGATAACTGAGCCTGTGCAGGCATGCGAGAAGGTGGCAGTGACACAAGCAGGTTCTTGTTCTCAGGAGAGTCATTTTTGTGACACTTCCAAAGCCTAAGGCTCCCTCAGTTTGGTCTCAAGTTTTACAATAATATGCATAAATTAACGAGTGTTTTATTTTTTATTGAATATATTCTTATTGAATTCAGAGATGGAGAGGGAGAGGGAGAGATAGAAACATCAATGATGAAGAGAATCACTAATTGGCTGCCTCCTGCATTGCCCCCCTGCATTCGCCCTTGACCAGAATTGAACCTGGGACCCTTCAGTCTGCAGGCTGACGCTCTATACACTGAGCCAAATCAGTTAGGTCTTAAATAACATATAGGCATGTTGGAATGACCATTTACTAATTAGAAGTTAAAATTTTGAAAGGCTTATATTCATTAATATCTGCTTCACCAAAAAAAGTTGAGTCAAGTATGATTGTTGTCATTTATGAAAATAACACAAGGACAATACTGTTAGCTGATAGCACTTTATTACCTGTCCTCCCGCCACCCCACATCCAGTGAGACAAAATGTCTCTCAAACTAGAGTATAAATCAAAGGAGATAAAAAAACACTACATGGCAGGAATCAGAAGAATAAAGTAAAGCCTCATAAGCAAAATGAAAGGCAATATTAAACTCCCACCTCCCTTCCTATTCCTTCCACTTCCATGGACACAATCCTCCCCCCCAACCCCCACACACACCTTATACACACATACTCCTCACGAGGAAAGAAACCACACCCTAGGAACAAACTGAGTGTAAGAGGATTTTTTTAATTCAATTTGTAAAGGACAGTTTAAAAAAACAAAATGTTAGTAACACGCTAGAACATTGGCTTGTTCATTTGACATTTTCTCTACCTTCACCCATTTTTATTATAAAAAACAGAAAAGTAAAAACCCATTACAATATTTGCACAGTGTAACCACAGTGTCACCTAAATAAAAGCTAATTTCTACAAAAACCATAAACTTAACAGTTTTATTAAAAGAGATTCAAAATTCTCTCAGTTTACTGGATATACATAGTGGTATATATTTTAAAGCAGAAAACCCCCAGAAAAACAAAAACAATGAAAAAAGGAAATATAAGTCAGAGTGGTCAGTTAACCATTTTGACCTGACAGTTCCTACAAATAATAACTTCCACTACATATAAAGGAAACCGTTATCTGCAGTAAAAACTCTAGAGACAAAGTAGGAAATGTGTAATAGAAACAATCAATTAGAAGTCAGTCCCTGGCTGCATGTGTTTGCAATGAAACACAGCCAGTGAGTTACATCAGGAAAGAAGGGACATGACTCATGTGTCCAAACCACTGTGTGTGTCTACAAGCGAGACCTTTACATGTCAAGCTGCAAAGTTTCAATGCAAGAACTTTGAAAAGCACAATTTTTTTTTTCTTCATACAAATCACTGCAAGTCATCTTTGTAAGGCCAGACCTTGCATAGAGAAATAGCTGTCTTCTGTCAAAAATCCTGCAGGAATGAGTAAAAGCAAGCTTTTCAAAATGATGCCCATGTGCAAAAAGTCAAACTACCAAGCACCTCTGTAACTGCCTCCGATTTATCTTTATATTTGACAAAAGGAAAAACTGCCAATTTATGGTGACAGATTGGCAACAGGAAAATTAAATCGCTAAAGTGCGTCGTTTGAGAGTGCCGCTACCTGTGGAAGGGACTCGGATGCACTCAACACGCCCTCTCGTGCTTTCGCCAGGACTCACGAGAAGCTTGTCGTATAAATGCAAGTTTCCTTTTTCAGAAAGTTAAAGTGTGAAAAAATAGGACAAGTTGTGGCATCCCTTTAAAAGTTGATGCTACGTTAGTTGTATTCTGAGTTGGCTACTAGGAAGGATTAATGCTTCCAGGCGGAGCCCAGCCACGTGCCTTTAAGAGCCGTGGTAGAGGTTCATGGTACCCAGGACGGCAATGTCATACCTTTCTTCCACCTTCACAGAATTGGAATGCTCTATCACACTATTAAGCTCGGGGATGCTTTCAGCAGTGTCCCCGAACCCGTGGTAATGTCCATAGTGCAAATTCTCCCCAATATCGTCCACCCAGGAAGGTCTACTGGCTACGCAGCTACTCGGACTCCCGTTCAGGTGCAGAGAACCGCACATCTCAGGGTTAACGCCCATGGTCTTTTCTGGCTCCTCAGTCCCGTTAACACAGAGAGAACCCTGGCTACTTGGAAATGGTCGTCCTGGAACTAATCCATTGCTAATTCCATTAGATCCTGTTAAGCTCTGGTTACTCCTGCTTTCCATCCCATTGGTCTGAGTCGGGGAAGAGAGGTCCAAATGTCCATTGATGACACATCCGTTTGTCAATGTGTTCGATACGGAGCTACTGTTTTTCATATCTGCATTAAGAAATACACCTGTCACCAGAATTCAGAACCAGAGGGGAGGAGAAACTATAAAATGCTTCATTGCTGCTACAATTTTAAAGGACTTATTCTTTTCTTTTTTAACAAACCAATTCCTTTTCCAAAGTGAAAACCATACACAGATTTTAAAATAAAACACAACAGTAGCATTTGCCTTGTAAGAAAGGGAACATTCATCAATTTCAGTAGTGTTGGGGAGCCAAAAATTAAAAAACAACTTATGTTGACAAATATATTGCATGAAAAATACCAATGGTACTGAAAAGCTGTCAAAAAAAAGTTCCCATTTTAAGACTATTCTCGGAGAACAGTTTTTAAAATCACCCCTGAGAAAGTCCATCAGAACTGAATGTGAGGATTCCCACAAAAGGCTGAAACAGCACAAACTTCTCCAGCTCTTAGCAGGAGGAAAGCGGTTCTGAAGCAGGCGAAATAGGCAGCTCCTCGGACTAGGTGAGGCAGTGTCACACCTCACAAGCCAGGAAAGCCAGGAGCATGAGAAGGAACCGCTTTTCCTTTTAACACTCAGATCTACGCGGCACTTCTGCCCAATGCCACGCGGCAGCTCTGCAGAGTGCTGAGCACAGTGGCCACAGGCAGGAACGAATGGTTCTCCTGCACACAGTCTTGGGCCAACGGCAGTTCTGAAGTTTCTTCCGAGGTCAGCAATTAAGGTGATCATTACAGCCAAGGTTCCACTTTCAGAAACAACTTATACTGGAAAATGTTGATAGGTTAATCTGCATCCATTAAAAGAAGGATGTCTTACAAAAAAAATGTCACAAAACGTTTGGGCACATGGGAATAGGCAATTACAAGGTATTTTTCTGTATAATGACACTAGAGAGTTAATATTCATGTTCACAGGCGTTCACAGCACAGTATAGAGAATGATCTAAAATTATGTCTTGCTTATTAATATTAAATTTTAATGTTCTGCGCTATTAAAGCATGGTATGATATTGAGGACTCATTTTGCATATCTGATCACCCTAACATCTCACACAGTGCGCCTGTCCCCTTTAAGGGCCCACTTTTGGGTTCACCATCTATAGACTCTGACTTGCACTCGAACACAGGTTTTTGTGTGCCTGCAAATCTCCCTGCCAACAAAAAAAACATAGCTTGTTCAATGAACAAAAACATCTCCTAGACATTCCATTAGTCATCAATTTTCTGGCAATTTAAATGACATAGTTTAATAATTATTATAAATTCTTTAGGGGCTTATGAAAAATAAAAAAAAAAAGTGATAGCTTTTCTATCTAACTAAAACTCAAGACTAGAGAGCAAGTGTTTCAAGAACTAAACATGAAGTAAAATAAAAAGGAAAACACCAAGCTGTTCCAGGGAAAAATTTATATTATTAATTTTTTTAAAAAGTATAAATAATTGTTCCTGGGTCATAAAACTCATGGGTATGGCGGCAAGTTTGATAGTTATTAATAACTGGCATACTACTAAAAAAGGTGAAAATCCTATTTTCAGGTGACTGAGTCTGTAAGGGTAAATGAGCATGGCCTCAGAAATCTGAGGTAACAAGACTCCTTTTTTTTTTTTTTTTTTTTTTTAATGTTCCCCGTGCGTGTACTGCTTTCCTTTAGTGCATTATGCAATCTAAAAATCAAGGTTAGTAGATAACCTCATATCATTGTAAGAAATCTAATAAAACTGAGCAAGAAAATGGCAGACATGCTAGAGAATGGCTAAGACAGAGCCCACTGACCAGCTCCAATACTGTCCGTCATTCTGTTCCAAGCTCCTTTCCGAGACTCATCCATTTACTGAACGGCTACAAGTAATCTCTAGCTATTTTAATTTTTGTTTATTCAGTCAGATAATGTTGTAAATGAAATGATGGAAAATATGAGGACGCTTACTTGGCACTTGTATACGGGATGAGCTGGGATTGGAAAAATTATGGCATTTAATGTTATGTTCAAGCTTGGTATTAAGTTTAACCTGAAAATCCAGGGAATTAATGTTTGGGGATTAAAGAGTGATTACTTCTGCCTTTTTAAAAGCATGTAGCAATGCCATTAAAAAAAACAAACTGGCTTTGAGTTTTGTTTCATTTAATTATTTGGCAAAAAGGTGAGTCCTCCCATAACAATTTGTAGCTTCTAGAAAGATGTATACATCTCTTTTCATTTTTTAAAACAGAAATGATTTTTTTCATGTAAGTCTGGGAAACAAAATATATCATCTTTTATCCCCAGTAGAGAATTTGGCATAAAGACATAATAAAACTTTTAAAAAGCCAGTATCTATTTCTAAATGTATTAAAACAGTAAAAGAATGGCTAAAATATTTTCATGGTACCTAAATAAAAGATTGTAGAAAAAAAGCATTTACTAAATGGATAAATCTTAAAAAGCTAAAAGAAACTGAGCCTTGGCCTTTTAAAAATGTATGACTGTCTATACTAAAATTTTAATATACTAAAAGCGTTAGCGTAGAAAATGTGTTTTGTGAGAGATGGTAGTCAGCATTTTTACCAGACCTAGAGTGAGTGGCACAGAAACCAGAGCAACCACTGAGCGTCGAATGACAGATTCCATACTGGCGCGACTGCTTACAAGTTAAAACCACAATGTTTACTATTTCTCAACGTTTATGGCGAGTCAGACTTCTGGCTGTTAATCGCTTTAAAGTTACTACCAATAGGCATTCATTCAGTATATTCACCCAAAGTCCTCCATAAGAAAATAAAAAATGCAAAACCTTATTAAACAAGGCACATTAAGCAAAAGTTTAAAATCAAAATATAGATTGCACTTATATTTTTCATATCCATAGAATGCACCAAAAACACTTATCCTACAAACTTGCCCAAGATATGCAAATTATAACATTCTTTGAAACACTAGACAACAAAGTGCAAAACTCGTTTGAAAGAAGCTGTTAGAAATAATACGCATACTGATTCTTGCAACGACAAGGGGTCTGCATTGCTGAAACAGTATATATTTCTATTTCTTTTGGTCCAACAGAACCACCCTCCTGCTGTGTGGTGTCTTCGACCATTGGACTGTTGTTGCAGCTAACAGGAAACTGTCCACTCCCACCTGTTACGACAGCAAACTCTCTATCGACGTGCATTTTTTCAGCATCATCTTCCGCCTCGCTGTTCACTAGTGGCATGCAGTAATCCAAGCTTTGAGCTGCACAGGAAACAAAGGCCATTTTAGATCCCCTGCACACACAAGACAAATATTTCTCATTCCATTTTGTTAGAGCACTGAACTTCTGACAAGAGATTTTTTCAAATAATTTCATAATCTACACGACAAATGATCTTAGTATACTACCGAGAAACTTTCCCACAGTATTACAAATGTTTTTAAACTCAATATATAATATATTATGCCTCAAAATGTCCATCAATTGTTTTCCATAAACACTAGGACAGTTCTTGGGTAGCAACACAAAAATCATGAAAATGACCCTCAAAAAAAAAAAAAAAAAAAATCATGACTTTCAGTAACAGAAAATAAGGTAAAAGCCAAGACTCAAGACGCCTACCAATACTGTTCCCATGTGGTACCAGCCTATGTGCTGCTAGATACAGTAAAATTAGTTTTAATTCCAAGGTATTTGGAGCCGAAGCTACATGTACATTTCTTATAAAATCATCATGCTCTGTATCTTGGAGAAAAGCTAATATGCACATTTAATCTCTTTTCCTCCAAATACTACATACTCGGTGCAGAAAAACCATCTTCCCCCCATTCCTACCCCCCCCCCCCCAACCCTAGTATCCCAACTTCTCAGGAGCAGCCACTCTCATTTGATATAGACAAATCTAGTCTTAAACACGTATTTTTTTTCAAAACCAAAACCTAAAAATCATTTTTATGCTTTGCTTTTATTCATTTACCATGGTATCAAGGCATCCCTATCAACTAAGTTCAAAAAATCTTTCAAGTTGAAAGCCCATTGTACGGCCGTATTATAATTTGCCCACCACCAAATTCCCTGCTACTGTTTGGGATGCTTCAGTTTTCTTTCCTATTGTGAATACCATAATTAAATCAATCTTTATAAAGGCATCTTTGTGTGCATTTCTAGATCTTTACTCAGATAAAGAACTAGCATTATTTTGGGGTCAAAAAATAACTTTTTCTGCTAAGTATTTCTTTTAAATAATTTAAAGGCAGACTTGAATTTTGCAGCTTTACTTCCTTCTAGTTTTAGAGGCACACATGTCATTTTCAATATAGGAATGAACATACTCCAGATTATTCCCTTAACTGTTAAAACTAAAGATGATAGTGTAGTCTTAATGAAAGAGAAACAAATTCTGAATTAGCATGTGAAAGAACCAGAAGTGTGTGATTTTGTGAGGTTGAAAGTGGAAATCTGTACAGCTGTGAGGTCAAAAACCGTCTACAAAGAGAGGTGCTTTGAAAAAGTAGGCATTAAACCACGAATTTCTGTATTTTCCACTCAATGCTTTTTGTAATCCTCTGCAGGCCCAAAGTAAGTGACAGGCAAGGTTCTACCTTCACTATGAAACACTTTCAAGAGTTCAGCAGTAAGCCATCTCATAAAGGGGCAGTGGAAAGGGGTGTCCCAAATACCAGTTGTCACAATCCGTACAACCTTCAGGGAGTTCTTAAGTCTACACGGGGTGTGGTTTCCCCTTTTCTGCACTCTAATGCCCGATAAGCCAAATCAGGTGTAGACTGAGAACAGGTGCAGGCTATCATGGCAAAACCACAAATGTCCTTGTAAAAAAGGCATCTTTGGGATACAGAGCTTTCAGTAGCCATACTCATGTCTGGTTTTGTTGTGCTCAGGTTTCAGTGTTCCTTGGGCAAAGTGGCAACTACATTATGTCTACAATTTCAGACCTGTGAAAAGCACTTTTTTTTTGTTTTGTTAAAAGGTAAGCCCAGCCCTGGCTGGTTTGGCTCTGTGGATGGAGCATTGGCCTGCAGACTGAAGGGTCTTGGGTTCAATTCCTGTCAGGGGCACATACCCAGGTTGTGGGCTCAATCCCTAGTGGGGGATGTGCAGAAGGCAGGCAATCCATGAGTCTCTCTCATCATTGATGTTTCTCTCTCCCTTCCCCTATAAAATTAAAAAAAAAAAAAAAAAAAAAAAAAAAAAGCCCAGCCGGTGTGGCTCAGTGGTTGAGCATTAACCTATGAACCAGGTCACAGTTCAGTTCCTGGTCAGGGCACATGCCTGGGTTGCAGGCTCCATCCCAAATAGGGGGAGAGGGGTACGTGAGGGGGGCAGCCAATCCGTGATTCTCTCATCACTGATGTTTTTCTCTCCCTCTCCTTTCCTCTGAAATAAATATTTTAAAATTTTTTAAAAAATGAGCATCATTATCCCATAATCATCAAAGTTATATTTGCTAACTCACCTTTTGAGCCCAGTGCCCACAATAGTACTCATATCAACAAATGAAACCTACGCTCTAGCCATAAAGGGCACAAACATAGGAAGCAAGCAAGAAATATGAACTACAGCAACCAGGAACATGGAAACCACCCGTCATTTTAGAGAAGTGGAAGCGGGACATGAAGGCGGACTTGCCACTAGGGGGCCAGAGAGTCGGTGGCAAAGGAAGTTCAAAACAAAAATGTGTATACAGAGGACCTGGGGAGCAATGCCGTTTTGAAGCAAATATTAATCCCTTAGAGGACTATCCAGTGCACTAGTAATTATGCTCTAAAATTGTTCCACTTAGCATATGTCTTTTATTAATGCAGATAAGTTTCTCATTAATAAAAGATAAAAATGAAACAAGAACAAAGGCTTTCAAACTCTTTAATGTAGAAAGCATATGCTAATGCAGACAGCCTAGAATTTATTGTAATTATTTCTCTAAGGATACACCATCTTTGTATATTTTTCCCATGAAGTATCTGCAAGGATATTTCACTACTTGGCTAATCCAGCTGACCCAGAACTCTCAATAACTTCATACTAATGTCTTAGCACTTGCATATAGTGAGCCCTTATACAGGGGCATTAAGGCTGCACTTGCTTTTTAAAATTGTACTTTAAGGTGCTAACCGGTTTGGCTCCATGGTTAGAGCATCGGCCTGCAGACTGAAGGGTCCCGGGTTCGATTCTGGTCAAGGGCATGTACCTTGGTTGCGGGCACATCCCCAGTAGGTGGTGGTGGCTGATGGGTGTTTTTCATCAATGTTTTACCTCTCTATCCCTCTCCCTTCCTCTGTAAAAAATCTATATATCTTTAAAAAAAATTGTACTTTGTCATGAAATTATAATTGGCCTCTCAGAATATTCCGAACATTGGATCTGGATTTGACTCCTTTTCCTGATAATCACAGGTGTCACCTGTGGCATTTTCTCCTACACCTATCGCCAAAGTAACTTTAAATATTCCATATTGCATCTGAGAAAGGTGATCTGTAAACACTTCTGAATTCTTCCAAAACTGTAAATTTTTATTGTTTTGGAAAAACATTTTCCCTTCCTGTTTATTTACCCCTACCGATAGAAGAAAAAATTACTGAACATGTTGCAAAGTGTCCTTACCTTCTGACTCCCAAAGCAGGTATTCGTTGAGGATTCTAGCACACATTAAACAATGCACACTATGTGGGAAAACCATCTAGGCCTGGCTCAAAACCAACACAAGCAGTCAGTGGCCAGGAAGTTTCTCATCCCTGACCTCTGCCGAGTCAAGGTGCTCCATTCAGGAAGGTGCCGGGGTAGCAGAGGCCTGCATTTGTATTTTCACTTAAAGCTCAAGGGCTGAATAAAACCCCTAAAGCAAATTCTAAGAAAGCTTCTAAAACTACACAAAACATGAAAGAACAGTTTAAAATAGAAAAGGCTTATAAAAAATCCCGACTTACTCCATACTGGATGTGTAACACTGGCTAGTTTCACACAGTGGATTTAAAAGCAGCTCAGTGTTGTAAGACAGTGACCTAATTTTCTTTGTGCATCTTCACAGTGCCAGGCAGGGGTCCCTCCCAGGTGCTGACCACCGCCCAGTGGCAGGGGCAGGATGCCACACCCCTGTGGTCTTTCCACTGAACTGGGAACTCTGACCTCAGTTCCCCATTAAAACAACCAGGAGGGAAAGGTTTCCTTGGTTTCCCACCAGCCATTACTAGTTTGAACTATTCTTTGTTCTACTAGAGAGCACATTTAACCCAAATAACTAATTTTGAAAATAAATATCCTGTTAAAAATAGTACCTAAAACCACTGCAAAAGGGCTTCTGTAAGGTAACCTTTTGGGGAACTTCAACACAGTCCCAACTGCAGACCAGGGGGTGGGGGAAATTCGAGAGGAGAGCAGTGGGGATGCATAAATGACAGAACTGCAAAACTAAGGAGGGGTTGGAGTTGTTAAAACACAGAATGAAAAGTGGATGTGAAATACACCATCCTGAAGGTATGCCAATGGTGGATTCCCACTGCAGCTGCACACACTGGAAACAGACTAGCACATGAGGCTTGAAATCAAGATTATAAGAATAAAGGTGGGAATCACCGAAAATGCTTGGTTCTTACTATAATTTATTCAAATTGTATTTCTAGAATGCTGTGTGTTTAAGGATAATAAACCATTTGTTATTCTAACACAATCAAGTGTTCTCTGTGGTCAAATTAAAAAACAAAACACATCACACAAATATAGCCATTTACTGCAAGTTTGAGAACACTAAGTAAACACAATGAAAGTATTGTGTGTATATATATGACGCTCCATAGAAATAATTTTAAAAAAATCTAACTTCTTGACTCTTTAAATAACTAGTTGACAAATATTAACAAATGTGTTAAGGCACATCTACCTTCTTCCCCCTGTAGTCATTTAGTCAACATGAACAATTAAAAACAGAAAGTGAAAATCCTGTTAAATTCATCCCAGGAAAAATGTGCTGAGAAACTTCCCTCTGCTAATTTTAAACTGAGTCATTCATGTTGAAGATAATTTCTTTAAAAAATGTTTTAATATTACATACTCACACATATGTATGAGATGCTAAGATCAATAATATACAGATTTGATTAAAACAAAACCATGAGGCCAACTTAACATTTGAGACCTGGTATTGCCATAGACTACTTCTTATGGCAAAGTTTCCAAAAATAAAACTGTGAAGTTACTAGGTAAGTCTGTTACAGTACCCTTCCCCACTCACAATTCTAGAGCTGCACCCTGAAAAGATTACTGGCTAAAAACAAGGTAAAGGTTTCTCTAATGGGTGAAACTGCCATTCTTTTCTAGCCAGGATCATTAGTTATCTGGACAGCAGCTCTCAAGAAATACATGAATAATTGTAGAGTGTTACTCCTGAAGACTAAGAATGCTAACAAAATCAAGCACATCTTTGTAAAGCAATGCCAGCTTAAGTTCTGAAGTCCACGTGTCATTCCATCTTGAACAAATGGTTTATAAATGGGGGGAGAAATCCAAACCTAATTACATAGCTACTTCCTTGCACCATAAAATCCCATAATGGGAAATATTACCACATAATACTTTTCACCAAAACCAACCACTTAAGTAACTTTAGATTTTATTTCACCCTTGAGTTCTATGGCCCTATCATCTCTGTTCTAACCAAAGCACATTTTGATTCTGGTGTGAATGACTGTATCCAAAGGACAGTTAGTTCATAGCCGAGCAGCACAAAAAGGCCAAAGCATTATTACTCCTCTTGGTTTTTCACATCAATATAATTTCTAAGGGAAAATCACTCCAATTAACTTAAAATATTTGAAAATGGATTACTGAAAGCAGAGAGATATTACTTTCTATAGGGAAGAGTAGGTAACTTTCAGACTCATGATTCTAAAGTAAAAAAAATTAAAGGAGTGAATTTTACAGGGGACAACTTTTAAGAATTGGTTTGAGATATGCATTTATTTAACCAAGATATTTCAGTCACCCATAAGAAAAAGCCAAACTTGTACTTCAAAAAAGAAAAAATAATTTTAAACTCTTCCAAATACTTCCATATGTGATTTTAAAAAGTATTTTATGTGCATGTTACATTAGGAAAAAAGTACTTTCACTTTGGCATAAGAATAAAAAATTTATCCACAAAACGAATTCAGGGTCAGCTGGAGAGGCTCAGTACGTTGTGTCGTCCTGTGTATCGAATAGTTCAATTCCTGGTCAGGGCATGTACCTGGGCTGCAGAGGTCAAATCCTCAGTCAGGGAGCATAAGAAGAGCAACCAATGTTTCTCTCTCTCTCGTGTCCCCTCCTCTAAGTATGTCTTCATATGAGAATTTAAAAAAAGAAAAAAAATTCAGAATGAGCAGAGAATTAAGCTCACATAAATAGCAAATTTAAAAAAAAAATGCCCAAAATTAAATGAACTAAGGCAACTGATCTTGAATTGCATACTAAAAAACTGGTCAAATGGAAATAACTATACAGTATGGCAGCAAAGAACTTCATTTAGAAGATTCAGGTAGTTGGGGGGAAAATCTTGTTTTAGTAATCAAGAATGCCCTAACATTCAGCAAGCACACAATGGTAAAATGAAAAAAATCAACTCTTCCTTTCCCATAGAGAAAAGAGTGGAGCAGGCATGGGGGTTGGAAGAAGACAACTCTATCTCTGCTTACAAATATGAATTTATACAAACACACTCTTAAGTCACATGTGGGGCAATCTCAGGACTGGAGTACTAGAAATTTTAATGAGCAAATAATTAAAATAATACTCAGTAGACAAATGATTAACACTGGAAGAGCAATGATTTCTCCTGTGATCGTGACAATATTATTTCATGTATATATGGAGCAGTGCTCAACCTTAGGTTTGTATAATTATTACCTGCAAACTTAAATGCCAGGCATAAAGCACATTTTCTTCTTAATTGGCATCCTCAGGTTGTTAGGTATGGCGATTTGTGAAAGCTGTATGGTGAGTTTAGTGTGTAAGATATAAATCTTTAACTCTGGTTTACCTAAATGAATCCTTGTCTGGAGAAGGAAAATAAAACCCCTAAAAACCTGCATAATGCTTCAAACTAAATTTGTGTGTAATAGGATTTAGGAAACTTAGGATAGAAACAGTGAGATATTGGCCAAATCAGTTCACCATAAAACCTTCAGAAACTAGTTTTAAAAACTCTCTAGGTACATTTCTACATCTTAGAATGTTGTGTCAAACTTTTTAAAAACAAACAGAATTTAAGATCTATCCTACCAAACTACATTCAGACATAATCAGAATGAGGGCACAATGAAACTAACAATATCATTCCACAATATCAGTCAGGCATTAAATTTTAAGTATTTTTAAAAAAGTATATGCTCGTAAAGAGCTTTAAAAATACATTAGAAAATATATAGTGAAACATGTTGCAAATAAAAGACAATGCTGAGCAACACTTTATTAAAAAACACATTTGAAGTATAGGTATACATACCTCATTGTGTTTTATCATAGCACTTTCTGGATTTATTAGGCTCATAACGCTATGAATTTAATAAACTATTACATTTAAGTTCACTCATTCATTTAAGTCACATAACCTTAAATTTTTATACTGACCAAGATTTCAGAAGTTATGAAGTAGGTATTACAACTTTTGTCATAAAAAAACACGTACCTTTTGTCTGAATATACTCGAGACAAAGCAGTGAAGAGTGGATATTAACCCATAAAATTTAAACACCTCTAACCAGCAGTGTTTTCTTATACTATACTTGTAGAGTTGATTTAAAAAAAAATTTTTTTTTTTACTCTTTATCTGAGGATATTTGTTCCCATTGATTTTTAGAGTGGGAGGGAGGGAAGGAAAGGGGAAGAGAAAGAGAGAAACATCAATGTGAGATATACTGATTGGTTGCTTACTGCATGCACCCTGACCAGATTGGGGAGAACCTGCCATTGAGATATTGCCATTGACTGGGAATTGAACCCTCGATCTTTCGGTCCACAGGCCGACACTCTAACCACTGAACCAAACCAGTGAGGGCTAATTTTTTTAAGTCAAAGGGCACACTTTGTATTTTCAGCAAATCTTACCGGAGTGCATTAATTTCAGAGTGATTACTTTTCACTGTCATCTCTAAATTGCCTCTGTATAAGTTTGCTAAATATTCCTGCCAAGCTATCAATTTGTCCTGTTTAAGATATTTTATATATTGGTACGTATATGTAATTTTTTCCCAAATAAAGTTTTCCCCTCAACTTCAAGAATGACTGTTCCTAATTATTTGCAAACTCCAAAACTCAAGATAAAAAAAGTGGAAGAATACCTAAAACTTGACTTACCTTACAGAGTATTAAGTCCTCAAAGTGACAGATCAGATCTTGTGACAAATGCACACTACCACGTGGGTCATGGAGACCAGCTAAGGCCAAATCACAGTGCAAGTGGAACAGTATAGCAAATATCTACCTTCCCAGATGTGAAACTATGTTTTACTACCAGACCAACAATTGTTATAAGCTCGGGGACATTTATGGGAAACAAAGAAATCAGGCACAGGGGCAGATTTTTTTTTAATAGTTGTATTTCCAACAGGAACAACAAGAAAAATCTTTCTCATTCCTGGAACGTAAACCTGGGCATGCAGAAATGTTATCAACGCACATTTATATTTGACCTGTCAACACTGCCCTCTTACGTTCTCCCCTTTTGTTAAATGGCCAAATCTTCAAAGTAGCAATACAGGAAAAACTCCACCTTCCCTGTACCAGAATCCTCCGGGCACAGTACCACCTTACGTGAAGGTCTCATCTTGAGGTGCTTTCAGCATAAAAAAAAGAAAACATGTTAAAGAAAGTAAACACTCGCCTACAAAGTGGTCTCACCTTCGGTTCTAGCTTTCTTCACTTCAAAGGGTTCCGAATCTTCCAAGCATCTCTTGCGATTTGTTCCCATACTAACATGATTAGGAAATATATTCTGATGGCCCCCGTTTAAGGTGCCATTATTATAGAAACGGTTCAGATGACAATTCTGGAGGTTCAAGAGAAACTGGGTACATTCTTGGAAACCCTGGGTTTGAGCAATGTCTGCTGCTGTCAGGCCACTGGCATTTCTCAGGCTGTACAACACAAAAACACTGAATTACCTCCCATTAGCATTTTCATCTGGTCTCTGCTCCTGCCGAACTGACTAACTATCTGAAGGTGATATGAAAGAGTATATAGATTTACAGCAAGCCTTCATTAAAGAAGGCGTTATTCATCCTAGCTCTGTAACTAACTTCTGTCTTATGCACATATGATTACTAAGCAAGATTTGGGCGATAGTAATTTAAAAATCAATAAAGTAAACTTTAAAAAAAGGCATCTTCCTATTTAACGTCTCAAAATCATTTTTTGTTAGTCTGAAGAACCTAAATGTATGCTAACTTCAGACTTAACCTGAACTCTATATTATCAGCACTTAATTTTAATAATCCATTCCTTTAGCTTGAGTAAAATCATTAACAAACAAACATGTACTGAAATTGTCCATGGCATTCATAACAATTGGCTTCCTAAAAACAAAGGTATGCAATTGCTTACCAACTATAATTTTATGTGACACTATAAGCGGAAGTTTAGAAGGATGTCCTGACATTAAAATAATTTGTTATTAGGCTGGAGATGTGAAGAGTTGAGGGATTTTTTGTTTGTTTGTTTGTTTGTTTGTTTGTTTTGTTTTGTTTTTTGCCTTGCTTAGGAAAACTTGTAGGAGTTGGCATTCTAGAGCATTATGAGTGGATAGTTCCTGTGAAAGCCAAATACTATTCTAGGAACTCATGCTCTAAGGCTAAGAGTGCCACTACTGAAAAGAATCAACATCTTATGTGGTTAATATCACAAGTAAAGGTTTGATATCTTCTATAGTAGCTAATATTCAAATTAAAGGAGGAAGTGATGGTGTAAGTGAAAGATCTGAATAAGATGAATATAAAAGAACCAGTTGAGCTTAGAGATCTTAATTAGGAAACAATAAACATTTAAAGAACAAAAGCAACTCCACGTTGAAGTTCCCCTGGAGAATAAGAAAATACACTGCTCTGTGAAATAAATCTGCAAAAAAAGCAAAATAGGTTGTTAGCTACAGGTTGATAAACTGAAATTGCAGAAATATCAAACATATGTGCAAAGATATCTTCATACCTACTCAGTAAGCTATGCTACAGAGCAAAGGTATGATCAAATAAGGCTTATTTTATGTAAGTGAAATAACCAATGCAGAACCTTTGATTTGTTTCCTAGGCTAATATTAATGTCAAAAAAGAAACCTTTTTTTTTTCCAGAGAGAAAACTGCCAAATCAGGGTCTTTCATTTTCAAAGATAAAAATAAGCCTTGAGTTCCTATTTCCAGCCATCGTACTCATAAAACTCCAGCTCAGAAATGAATAATCTATATATTCTTGGATAATCATTAAACATCTCTTCACTTTTTAGCAGATGGCATAAAGAAATGTATTATACATCTTGAAGAAAGGCAAAAGCCCAAACTCAATTTTATCAGATATGAGAGACAAGTCTTATGAATTCCAGAAACCAACAATATTTTCTTAAACATAGAAGGCAGTTGTATCCGGCTACTGGGAAACTAAAATGGACATTTTAATTTTACCTCTGATGAATATTATTCTAGAATTCTTAATGTTTTTATTTTGATACATAAATTAAATGTATCAAAAAGATACATTTTGATACAAATGTACAAAAAGAAACTACTTAAATTTGGGCAGAGCAAATTACGTACATACAAAATAATCATATTCTTGATTTTTAATATCAACTTGTTATTCAAATGTAACATTACAGTGTATAGCTGGACTATTTTTAAATGATGCATTTCATTTTCAAAAGATATCACGTATAAAGATGGTGCAGAAAGGTCTACTTCTTCAAGAATGTAAACACAAAAACAAAAGTTGCTACCTGAAAATTTTTTTTTTAAGTCTTAGCTTTACCAAATTTGAAAAGATGAAGACCCAGAACATAAGCAAACTTTATACAATGATCATTTCTACAGGTAAGTATGGACTTGCTCTCTAAAATCAAAGAATAAAAAAATGAGAGATTGATGCTTAAAATTAGAACAATAAAGTTGACAGTAAAGATTACTCCTTAGTGGATCACAAAATAAAAAGGAAAAGTACACAGATTTTTTAAAATGGAACCTACAACCATAAATGCCAGTTCATCAAGGAAAACTTGTTTAAGGAACATGCCAACATTTTGAAGTTGCTGAAAAGAGTAACATTCAGAATATAACCAGTTCCTTTACACTTCATTCAGAAACTTAACAGTAGACTGAATTTGGGCTAGAATAGCAGTTTACTGTTCTTCCAAAGAAATAAACCTTAAAGAAAAATAAGCAACAAATTAGTGCCAATATCTAGAAAGTGTAGAGATTGTAAATGTTTAAGTGGCATTATCTGCCTTAATAAAAGACCTAGACATCACCACCCTACCTCCTCCTTTACCAAAAGTAGTCAAACACTGCACATCACTTGACTGAGAAAGAGCCAACCAAATTCCAAGTTGTGTCAGCTATTATCTTCAAAACTCAAAAGAAGAACTAGAGCCAACTCAGCTATACACTCCCTATGCATGGACCAACCAAGTAGGAGAGAACAGTAACAAGTCAGATTGGTTCCTCACATAACTTTGGGGTACCAGAGGTTAGAGTGATCCAAAAGGAAGGTCTAAATATTCTATAAAATGTATGGACAGATCATAACCTGGGACATTTGGTGACTGTGGAAAAATTGGGAGATTATAATTTTGGCGATATTCCTGTAGTATAGGAAATATTAATAAAATAGCCTTTCTCTACTTCTAGGAAGCTATAGAAGATTTCAAATATATTATTACTCAGTTTATTAAAGACTGAATACTGGTATACACAATATATAGTTTACTTTAATAGACTTTATATTTCTCTGAAGCAAAAGATCTGTTAACACCTGATACTGATACACAATAACCAAAACCACTAGTCCCCTCTTTTGCCTCTCAATGTTTTCCTTCCCCCATCTCCTCTCCTACTTACTAATACATTCATTCCTCCATTCCACCCCTGTGGAATGTTTAACTCCCTAATTCTGCTCTGCTCACATTTAAAAACTTACAAGTGGCTGCACAATCACAGAATGCACATTACAAAAAACTGACTGGAAAGTAACATTAGAGATCATCTAATTTAGGCAGAGGAACTTTTTCTGTAAAGGACTAGAAAATAAATATTTTGGGTCTTTGAAGCCACCGACTCAATCACTACTCTGTTATTTTAGCTTGAAAGTAAGCCTCAGACAATATATAAACAACTGAGCTTATGTATTAACAAACCTTTATTTGTGAGTATCGAAATTAGAATTTTATATAATTTTATGAATCATAGTAATTTTTGTTTTTGTTTTTTGGTCAACCATTTAAATATGTAAAAATCATTTTTAGTTTATGGGCCATTCAAAAACAATCAGGAGGCTGGACCTGTTAACAAACTAATCCTCTCTATTCTTAATAACTGTCTCTGGGTTCCTGAAAAAAATCTTTCTAGTAAAGATTTCCACAGAGAGGAAGGAAGAGGGATAGGATAAAGAGCTAGAAACGTTGAAGAGAGAGAAACATCGACCAGCTGCCTCTTGCACACCCCCTACCGGGGATGTGCCCACATCTAAGGTACATGCCCTTGACTGGAATTGAACCTGGGACCTTTCAGTCTACATGCCGACACTCTATCCACTGAGCCAAACCGGTTTCGGCAAGACTTTCTATTTTATGCACTATTCAATTCAAACAAACAAACAAACAAACAAACAACCTTGTCTTTATAGGTCTTAGTTCCTCAAATCACTTTTTAATGTTAAATAAGTAGAGAGGACTTTAATATGAACTACAGAGGCTGAAAACCATGTGGGTTTCCAAATAAAAGCTGGAATAATCATTACATGGTACCATTCTCAAAACACTTTTAATGTTTAACAAAAGCAGCTAGGTCTTTAAATTCTTTTTTCATATAAGCTGTCCTATTTGCTAATAAGCATGTCTCAAATGTTTTAGGAGCTGAAACACTAATCCTGGTTATATATCATCAATTCATTAACCCTTCAAACTCTATTTATAGTGCTCCAAGTTTAAACCTAAGCTATCCTGTTATTTTCCTAAAACTCCATGGGAGCTGGGCACATGAATGTGGCTTAAGATTGACAGGTTCTATAACTTCACATTAAATGTGGTACTTTGTTCTTTTAGAGTACTTTTTAAACAGTCAAGCTATCACCTTTCAATCAATCTCTAGGTGTTCACTGTGGTGTGATAGGCCCACTGCACTAACTGCTGGCCACTGCTATTGAACCTCAAGTGAGGTACTGATAAAGAAAAATTTACAGTTATCTGGAAGAAAATGTTCAAAATTACTCTCTAAAACTTTATTTTGCATGAAAACATTTAGTATAGACATTAAATCTTTTTTAATTTGGCACCTTTAGTTTGATGCACTTGGGCACACAGACTACACCTAGTCTAAAATTTTTCTTTGTCCATTTCTGAAAATAAGAGGACCCACATGGGACCAAGTTGTTCTATAGCTCTAGATGACCTTCTCTGGTCCTAATATCCATTTTAAAAATCTTAGAAAATGAGAGATTTAAAGAAATCAGATATTAATCAACTTGATGTTCAAATCAGGTCTAGTTTGTTGAAGTACATGAAAATTGACATCATCAGATTTTTAGGCTGGTAAGACCAATTTGCTACTATTTATTATAGAAGTGATCTGTAGGTTCTAGTTCCTGTAAGTCAACATGAAACACAGTCTTCAGGCAGACCACCCATTTTCTCCAATGGTTGTATTATTTCAAAATTGAAATGTGAAAACATGGAAAGACATAGATTAGCCTGTGCTATGAATTATTTGCTCTGCTAACTAACTGGAAAAATCAAACTGGTATTTTTTTAAAACTTTACTGAAGTTAAAAACATAAATGCTTATGTAGTATTTTTTGTAATAAAATTCTGAATAGAATGATAAATTTATTATACCTAAGAATGTCTCTTGAAAGAATTTTAAAACAAATCCCATTCTACTGCTAGCCAATTCCCCATCTATTTTCCACTTATAGTGACACATAATTAGACTACATGAGAAGCCATTCTAGTAACAGTTTTTATTTTTAATTTGAAAAACCACGGATCAGGAAATACCTGAAATATAGATTTTAGACTCTAAGTTGTCACATCACCTTCAGGATGTTTTCTTTTTATTAATGCCATGTGACAATAATAGATAACCACAATTTTTATATAAATAATATTTCTGTTAAAATTCTGATCTCAGCTTAACTATTGTTAGTTTACAAATAAAAAGGTAGATATCATAAATTAGGGTAAGCAAAGCATGCAAATCTAAAGAATCTATATCTGAATTCCTAGATTAGCATTAAAACCAATCACCGCAACAAATACCTCAACAGTATGCCTCGTGTGGAGAAAGGAAGCCATACTGAACATTCAATGCCACAACTGTAAGGTTTTCGGAGAAGCACCTGTGGCAGTTTCAGCAGTTTCTATATGGAATGCTCCCCCTTTCTAGGATTACTTGAAAAAATCAAGTCAATTCGAATTACGTAGCTGTAAAACATTGACATGTGTAGTTTTTACAGATTAAGAATCTTCTGTGTGATTTAAAAAGGGCAATGGTTCATAAAACAGGAAACTTAAATAATAAGGGATCACATATTTGCAGGCAACATTTGGATTAAAAATACATATACATACATGAAGTGCAGAAGCACACTTATTGAGCACAGGCCATTGTCATGTGACCTCCTTGACCAAAAGCTATTGCTCTAAAACACTGCCTCCTCAATCACTTATAATTTTTAGCATGAAGCCAATTTAATTATGTCAATATTTCAACAAAATTTAACAGTATGGACTAAAAACCATTAACTCACGATTCTGGTTACTTTAAAATTTGGTATGCTGTATCTCAAATACATTAGTAACTATTCCTAGATGAAAATAAGCAAATACATGGAATCATTAAAAAAAAAAGATTAAAAACATTACTAAATGTCCATTTGTACAAACAAAACTTTAGCAAACATCATAAGATTTCTTCAGTAAAAGAAAAATGTATATTTTTAACCCTTTGGTATCCAAACTCTTAAATAATTATGAAAACTCTTAAATATATTCTTTAGGTAACAATAGGGAGACACTATTTTTTAAAGTTTCTACCTTTAAAAATTTGGTGCCAAGTTTTCATTTTAAGTTCAATACTGATTAAAATAGTTTTACATTGCAACTGAACCCCAATTATGTTTGCATACATTAAAATGAGTATCATTCAAATATTCTGATGAAATATTTAAAATGCTCCCACTATATTCTAGCAAAGGTAAAATATATTCGGATTTAGAAATCATTAGTTTTATTCAAAAACATTCCTTGTAAAAGCAGGGGTTAAACAAATATTAAAACCTATATATTACTCAAGCATGAAAAATAAAATTTGTCAATAATTCTTCAATACTGTCCAGTCTAACATCTGCTCCTGCCCAGGAAGCAGAACTTTGATAGCAATCTCAGCAAGTTAACTCCTCCACCTTGCTCATAACACTTCAATAAAAGAAAGAAAAAAAAGACCCAGGAAATAGTAAGTTTGCCATAATGACAATTAAGTAAAGGGCACAGCACTAGGTAAGGATGACTGGAATGCAGAGGATCTAAAATCAGAAACTACTAATTCAGAGCTGTTATACTAATAAATTGCATAATTCTGAAGAATAAATGAAACCACCAAAAGTTAAAAAAAATAAAGAAATGTAATTAAAAAAAGAAATCACAAATTTCAAAGTAAACCTGGGATATTTTGCCAAAGACAAAAAAAAGTTGCAAACAAACTTCTTGCACTATTATTAAAAATACTAGCGATCCAGTGCACGAAAATTCACTTTTTTTGGCAATATAAAAACAGTCTGTTAAGATCACTTTTGTTATTATAGACAACTGTGCCTGTTTTCTAAATTAGGCAAGATTTTTTTTTTAGACTGAGTCACTGAGCTTGTTTATATAAGGCTAGAGAAGCTTTCCAGCTTAAGTTCTTCTAGGGATCACGCTAATTAAGTTAAAATACATGTAAGTCTACTTGAAGATCTGGTTGCAACAGAATCGATGATTCTACTGAAAGCTATGAGACTAAATACTGCCACCTATATAAGTGGTATTAAAATAGACCTGCAAATTTGCCTGATATGCAAGTAATTCTGGTTTTACTCTGACTCCTGCTAACTCCTCCCACTCCTTTTTCCCCCCACCACTCCAAGGCATTAAAAAAAGCTACTTTAATATCTGGTTGATATTGAAATATTCTCAACTTCAATCTTTCAAGAAAATAAATACAAAGTAACCAAAATTAATTGGTGCACAAATACTAAAAGTAAAAATAACACAAGACTCAAAATCTGCACTTTACATTGTTAGTAAAAAGGTCTGCTTATTATCAGTAGATAGTAAGTTTTCAAGCATCTTTTTCTGAAATCACATTAAGACAACCTTATATTGTTACTAATTGGTAACAAAAGAAAAACAAGACAACTTTTACATGTCAGTACATTCCTTATTCCACTCAAAAATCCCAAGTGTGGAGTAGGCAGCATTCAAAATTAGCTGCAATGAAAAACTGAACTGCCATACAGGATGATCAACTTAATGAACCCTCATACTTGTCATAAATGAGAAAAAAATGAGAATGAGAAGCATTTTAGAGGTGTAGATCATTTAAAGTACACAAACATTTAGTCTGATCATAGAGCTAATGTATAACCTTGAGCATTTTTATTTTTAGTTCTGAACAATGAATGGCAAATAACGACCATCATATATGATAAGTAGAAACAAAACCTCACGTGAAAAAGAAAACTTGGCACCAAAACTCAAGATGTAAAATAAGAGAAGAAAAAGAAACTCCATCAATATACTCACGTGTGGTGCTAGAAAATGTAATACGATGCACAGCAGTTGACATGCGTTATCTTACAGATGCAGCCTATATTGACAAGTTAGTTACATAACAAAGCATTCTAGCCACAGGTGTGTGGTATAGCTGCCCTCACCACTATCTACCCAATGACCAAAAAGCAGCAACTAAGACTTTGGACACTTTATGCAGCTGATATATAAAAAGCAAAGTAGCAATTACAAACAAAATTATTAAATCCCACCAAGTGTGATAAAATAATGATATGAGATAGTTTTTAATCTATTCAGGGGGAAAATGAAAAATTATATTATCTCCTAAGCATTATGGCATGTGATATGAAAATCTAATAATCTGGTCTGTCCTAAACTGGAAAAAATAAAAAATAAAAAGTAATTTTAAATAAATTAATTATGTGCCCTTTGATCTTAAAATAGAAAAAGGCATTTTATTTGCTAGAACTACACTTACCACATGAGCAGCATTATACTAAACAAGTAAAATAGATCTAAGTATCATAATTTGGGGGAATCAAACTATTACTTGTTGGCAGACTAAAACTTAAAACTATAAAAATGTGCAGAAAAAATATCAAAAAAGCAATTTACAATTTAGCTTATTGGCAAAACTGACATTTTTATCTATATATTACAATTAAATAACCCCACATATAATTACAATAAATAATGATGATTACTGTGCTCTATCCAGGCCAAAGACTTATACTTTTAAGAATCACTTTTGGTTAGGTGGCTCAGGCTAAATATTTCTTCTAAAAAATATCTGAAAAGTTCAGTCAAGGGAAATCACCATAATGCAGGGTCTCGAGGGAGTGGCTCTTATACTGAAAAACAGACTGGCACTCGAGGTAATGCTCAGTCACACTTGGTGGAAAAGAGACACTCGAGGGCCTGTAACCAAGGACAGAATTGTAAATAAAATGATCTCATTTTAAAGACACCTATTAAAAGGACATAGCAATAGGTATTTATTGGCTTAAAGGATTAAGCTATCCATTAAAATGAATAAAACTAACATTTTAGTAATAAAATGTTCAGGACCAATTAAAATTGTTTAAAAAATAAGTCATTAAAAAAGATCAACCTCTAATTATTATTTCAATAAGTGACAATTAAGCAATCTAATCAATTATTTTATGTGACTCTGTATCTTATAACCAAAGCTTGTTATTAAAGGTAAGTTTTTAATCTAAATACAGCTAAGAAAACTGCATATATATCTTTGCTTTTAAAGTAATCCATTGAGAATTAACTCAATGTTTTTAACATTGTATAATATCTATTTAATTGTTTTTACATTACCTTAGTTATAACTACATATGAAATCACAAGGCACCCTGAAACATAATAGTTAAAATGCAAGTCATATTTATAAAACTAAATCACTACATAAATGACCCAAGCCGAACTAATGACTAATCTTAATACTAAATGAAACAGAGCTAAGATACTAAAAGCCCAATGACAGCCCCTGGTATTAGACCTATATGGTTTTGCTCTCCAGAGTCTATTTTCAATATTTATTATAAGACAGAGTCAAACAATGAAGTGGAAACCAAAGGGTTAAACTAAGTTTTGTGGGTTTTATTTCTCCCAAAGTCTAAAATTTCACATTGCCAATAGAATAAAGTGGCTTGTAATTAATTTTTTAAAAATATTCAAGACACTCAAGATAAAACAAAAAAGCTGATATTGTCATAGTTATTTTGGTTATTATAGCTCTATAGCTTACACTCAACATTTAAGGGTGAAAACCGCATCCATTTTGTTAATGCTGTGAACTGCAGAAGAAAAATTTTTATCATAAAAATCTTTGAGAGAAAGTATATACAACTGAATTTACTACCTAAAATAAATGTATAATGCCATGACTAGCTAATGATTTACATACAAAATAACACTTAAAAATACACTCAAATATTTTGTTTTACCAAACTACAAATAAGCTAGTTGATGTAAACTGGGCCAAAACAAAGATACTCTAAATGCCATCATATCAAAAGCTCAGAGAGATTTAGAAGTCTTTATTGTAAATAGTTATATTTTACAAGGAGTTATAAAATCATCAAAAGTTATAATAGGTTTTAAACATAATGTTCTCACATCTGCTAAAAGATGAGGAAATAAAAATTTAGAAAAGCTACAAGATTTTTTTTTTTGAGCCAAGAGGCCTGAAAATATTTTAATCTAATCCAAGGCCTTAGTTTCCAAATTACTACTTGGCAAAGAAAAGTTTGAAGACTTGCCCATGGTGATATAATTGTTAGTGGCAAAGTCAATGATGCTAGGTTCCAAATTTAATCAGTTAACTAACTGATCTGACCCTTCTGTTGGTCAACTTAACCCACACCAAAACCAACTGATCTAAAAAGCAAAATTATATTACTAACATTAAAAACAAAGTTCAGGACTTTGCTTGCTCTAAGTACTGTTTCTAAACACAACACCCTTAACTACATCTTGGCTGGGAAGAATAAACAAAGACACTTACTCGATGTGAGCCCCATTAGCTACTAGGGCACTGATGCAGTCTAGGCTTCCAGAGCGAGCCGCCTTGTGAATGGGAGTCTCGCCCTCACAGTCCTGGAAAACAAAACAAAACACCACAAAAAGGGACGCACACCAATATTCAGATCCAACAAGATTTCCACATTTTATAGTAAAATTAACATACACCATGCACCATTTCATTCAGCTGTGAAATAAAACAATATGGTAAGCCAAATTTGAAGCACAGCACAAAGAAATGTAGAGTGAAGGGAAAATAAGAGCAGTCCAGTAAAGGCACACTTTGCTCAAAAACAAAAATAATCTGTGAGGCCTGTACAGCAGTGATAGCATGTACATTCTAGATCAGTGGTTCCCAATGTGGGCACATGTTCCACAGGGGGGCAATTCGAGAATGAGTTATTAACAGAGAATTTTTTGCATTTTTATGGTTCTAGGGGCCTCATATACAATATATAAACATATATTGTAACACATTTATGCAATTCAGTTCTCTATATGTTTTGAAACTTTATTTGCTATTTTTCTGTATCACTTCATATTATTATTTTTTAAAAAAATTCTTAGTGATTTCTTCCTCGGTATTTAACTGTCCTTTCATTTTTTTATTTTTCTCTATCACTGATGCCATGCTCTTTGGGAGCTTGTTTAGAACAAGTTAATGGCCTTTTAGGCTTCCTCCATGTGAATAGTTTACTTTTTGAATATCAAGAGTTATATGTAGATGGAGGGGAATCAGGATTTTAGGGATGCTCATGGGGGGCATGGCCAAAAAAGGTTGGGCCAAGAAATAGCACCAATATTTAACACCTAGTCTAGTTTACCCATATCTACCACAAAGCTAGCTTGATTCGAGACATCACCAGTTTCTCCTCTGGATATTTTTTTACTTTGAACTTGAATTTGGACTACATTGTAGAGCAGCGGTCGCCAACCTTTCGGACCTCGTGGACCACCAGTTGGCGATTGCTTGCTAGAGAGAACATGGTTGAGGTTAAAGAGTCAAGAAATGATGGGAAGGGAGAACACAAGTGTCAAACATAGCCAACTAGTATAGAACTCAGGCTGTTTGTGATGAGCAAATCTGTCCAAGGACTTTTAGAAAGGCTGTATTAGAATCAGATTTATGCTTCAGAAAACAATGCTGGAAGAAGTAGAGGAAGTGAGCTGACTCAGAGAAAGAATTCAATACTAATGTATTAATCAAAAAAAAGGGGGGGGGGGTTGAATTCGTTTACACTGCATGAATGGAAAAAATGTGAAGCACTACTTGATTTATAGGTTCTCAGGTAAATTAGAGGTAAAGAAAGATACAGAATCAAGAGAAGTCATTTCTGCTAAAAGACTGATTTAGGGCTTTTTGACTGGGAAATTCCAAGAGGCTAAGCAGCAACAGTTCCTGAATCAGTAACACTTCAATGTCACTGAAAACGGAACTTGGCAGAAGACTACCATAGTTAAGAGATAAAGATATAAAGCAGGAGTGCGGCAAGTTTAGTGTCTGATACAGTACTTATAAAATTGCTCATTCATAAATTCAGTCAATATTTGAGCTCCTCACCAATGCATATTAAATTACAGGGGAAAAACTAAGGTGAAGGCTAAAATAAAAACAGTGGTACATTATTTTACAGAAAAATGTATTAATAATATGAAAAGCCTGCCTGTTTAGTGGAGGAAAAAGCATGTACATTTATTTTAAAATATGCTCAAAAGTGATATAAAGTACTATACAGAATAATCCAATTTTTCAAGAAACACAGAAAACCATGTGGTTCTATAAGGAACTAACAACTGAACTCAGATTTTTTAAAAACAGAAACATACCCCTATCCACCCCCAAAATAGGTAAAGGTGGGAAGGGACAAATAATAAGGACAAATAAAAATGTCAGACGGGTATGTCAGAAAAAGTAGAATTGAGATTTAGATGAGGTTTTGCAAAAAACAACCAACCAACCAAACAACAAAAACCCCACAAAGCAAAACAAAAACCCTCAGGGAAAATAAAGTTTTGTCTTTAGAAAGCTACCTTTGGAACAAGAAGGAAAAGGATTTTTGCTACTATTTCCAGAAGATGGGATAGTAACAGATGATGAGAGCAAAACTACCTGTTCTGTGTTACACAAGGAGAACATCATTAAACTGGGAAGGGCAGAATAAATACTACTTAAAGAAAACTATGGCCAAAAGAGTAAGAGTAGAGAGCCATTTTAAGGTTATTATTTCAGACCAGTCACATTTCAAAAACACCAAATAGTCTGGAGTGTGACTCTGGGAGTATTGTTGGCAAACTCTTGAGTAATAAAGGAAGAAAGCAGGAGAGGTTACTAGAAATCTGAAGACAGACAAGTCACCTTGAATTTTAATAAGGAAAAATCTCATTTCTAATCTAGGTAGTACAAGAAACTATGGAAGCAATATCAAATGCCAGCAAAATTCTAGAAGGGGTATTAAAGAGATGACTTGCAAACACAAAAAAATGGCACCCAGGGATAGTCATGACAGACCAGCGATTTTTAACCCCTGTGTTGTAATAAGTTTTAAAACATGCAATACCTATTTAGTCTGGGGGCACTGACCTCTTTTCCCTTAGATTGTAAACAAACAAACAAACAAACAAACAAAAGAAAAACAAAATAGCCATCAGTGTAAATTGATCACAATTATACTTTTTGGGGTCAGATTGACAAAAAAAATTTTTTTGGTGTGCTGCAGAATTTTAGCAATTAGTCTGTGTGCCATGAGATGAAAAAGGTTGAAAATTGCCACTATAGACATACAAAAAATAAATCACTTGAAAACTAACTTCACTTCCTTGTGTAAACTTAGAACAGAGAGCCTCCAGACATTACACCTAAGTTTTGAAAGCTCCATATGTTGACCTTAGAGATGGCAGAAGATATTATCTACTAATCTTGAGAAAATAGCTAGTCATTAATATGCCAAAAGATTAGAACAAGAAGATGGGTTAAAACTAACAAAATGTCAAGAAATAATATGCTTGGTTCAAAAAAGTTACACACAAACAAATAAAAGCCTAAGAAAAACCTGGATCTGGCTTTATAATAGTTTATCTGGAAAACGAGGAAAACTCTCTACCTCAAGATGGATCAACAGTGTGTTGGGGAAGCCAATAGAAGGGCTACTGGGACCTCAGGGGTCACTGGGTGCCTGTCAGAGCATCCCACTGTTACCTAACAGAGCAAGACAACATCCGAGATTCAGAATGAAGGTCAGCACCAGACCACAGCCAACTGAGGTCCTATCAGGAGCAATGCCAGATGCTTAAGAAATCCAAGTGGCACCCTTGACATGGGAGGACTTGGGGATATTGAGCCGCGGGAACAATTATAACAAGGGAGGGTTGTAAGGAGAGAGTGGAGTTTAGGAATTCTGGCCCTAGGAGCAAAGTTTAGGAGAGATTTCCACACAGTGCTAACGAGAGCAGCTCAGAGGAGCGAGTGGGGGCAAAGTTTTTACCTACAAAAAATACTGAGCTGTTAAAAAATTATATGAAAAGGGGGATTACTTTAGAAAGGTCTGAAAAGTAGCGTTAGATAATTTCTTTAGCTGATAATTTCTTTAGCTTTAACAATTCAATGAAAATTAACATGTAGAATATTCTGCACTTAAATTCCATATTAATATTAAACATTACTGCTATTTATGGATTGTCCGTATTTTATAGATAAAAAGGTTGAGCCACAGACCAAGAAAATTACTTGCCCAAGGCCAGAGAGATGAGGAAGCAGTGTGTGGAATCAAGGCCCAGTGCCCTTCCTACTGGGATAAAGAGGGAGGAGAGGAGAATGCAGAACCAGGAATGAGACAAGTGGAGACAGGAAATGCCTATAGCAATAATAGCATACAGTTGTCAACCTGTAAGTCCTGAGTAGGTGGATAAAAGTAACAAAGTCATCTATCTGGCCAGTGTGGCTCAGTAGTTGAGCGTTAACCCACACACCAGGTCACTGGTTTGATTCCCTTTGAACCCCAGGCCCAGGTTTCAGCTCCATGCCCAGTGGGAGCATGCAGGAAGCCAATCCATGTTGTTTGATGATGTTTCTCATGGATATTTTTCCTTCCTCTCTCCTCTTTTTCTCTATCTAAAATTAATAAAAATGTATTTTAAAAATTCTTTAAAAAAGTAAAGTGGCAGAGAAGTCTGTGTATATAAAGGCATCCTGTGTGGAGATATAAGTTCCAGTTACTAAGTAACAGAAACAGGTCTAAAATCCAGGGCTTTCCTTTCCCACCAATCCTTGTGTTAAATCACTGCTAACACACTTTCCTCAATTACTTGTTTGTAGGCGGGTATCTGCGTTATCTTTAGGAGAGAGGCTTGCAACTATTTTATTTCTGGCTATTATCAAGGAATGAATCTTAGGAAAGACAAAAAAGCAGAAAAGAGGGAATGAAAGTTACTTGGGACACAGCAGACCCTTGATGATTATTAGTAGTACACTTAAGTTTTGGAAATTCCTTATATTGACCTTACAGATGGCAGAGATATTACCTCCTAATTTTGAGAAAATGGCTAGTTATTAACATGCCAAAAGATTAAAACCAGGGAAAGAATACAAAAATAGGATAAAGGAGAAGGAAAAAAGTCTGTGGCACAAGCCCCTTAGACGAATCTAACCTGGGGCAGGTGCCAAGACTGGGGATGCTCCGGTCAGACCATCTATGGAGTTTTTTTTAAAACCACAGCCTGTCAAGAGAGTTCCCAATAAGCTAAGCACTCTTCTTTTGGGTGCTCCCTCTCCCCCGCTCCTGTGAATAGAATACTGAAAACACACCATTAAAAACCTGGCATTCTCATGTTTATGTTTGTATGCTTAAATACAAAATCTTTGCATTTGGTGTCCAGAAGTCACTTCTTTTTTAAAAAAAAAAATGTATTTTATTGATTTTACACAGAGAGGAATTGAGAGGGACAGAGAGTTAGAAAAGTCGATGAGAGAGAAACATCGACCAGCCGCCTCTTGCACACCCCCCACAGGGGATGTGCCCGCAACCAAGATACATGCCCTTGACCGGAATCGAGCCCGGGACCTTTCAGTCCACAGGCCGACACTCTATCCACTGAGCCAAACCGGTCCCGGTCAGAAGTCACTTCTTAGTGACTACTTATGTCTGTCATCATCACCCCAACTTGTATCTGAAGCAACATTAACTCACATTGACTATTATTCTAAGCTTAGAGCACTAGTTAAGTATACAATTTTACCTATATGTTCCCAAAAATTCTAGTTTAGCACTTCTTAGTTGGGATTTAGGAATCTGTATTTTAACAACTCCACCAGGTGATTCTCATCATGAGAGAAGTTTGGGAAACACTGTTCTAAGGCTAACTTAATTACAGATACATTTAATAGCTTTTCTTTTCCTAGTATGAATATGTTTTCATAATTATCAGTGGAAACAAGGCTAAGGCAGCAGTGAACTGGGATGCCAGGGGAGCTGGGCTTAAGGCTAGATTCCTTCAGTCACAGCTGTAACCTTGGGCAGATCACTCTGGGTCACCATGGATCACAGTAAATCATGTAACAGGTGAGAGTACTCTATAAACAGAAAGCACTGCTACGTGAAATGCCTATTATCCCAAGGTAATCCAATAAACATAAATTCCAATTAGCCCACAGGTAAAAACATCAAACTCTAATTAAGGCCTCAATTTAAAACTCAGCACCATGTAATTATAACTGGAAAAAGAAAACAAAGCAAATTCCCTTACCGGTTTGTTAATGCTGGCTCCTGCTTGAATCAACCAGAGCAGGCACTGGGGATGTCCTCCAAAAGCAGCGATGTGAGCTGGGGTCTGTGCGTAACGTGTGGTGCAAACATCAAGCGTGGCTCCAGCTCTCACCAACTGCATTAAGCACTCCAACTTCGAAAACAGCAGGAGAAATGAAACATGCATAAATGTTGGTGTACTATTAAATATTACACAAATAATCTAATTCTACAATGGAGATTAAGTGGCATTTGTTACCAATTTTTTCCCCTCTGTTTTAAGAGAAGAAAGTAAGTCATTCCTTCCCAATGCTATAGAAATTTTAAAAGGCATTAAAAAACAGAACATTTTTCTTTATAAAAAAAATTGGCACATAAGCCCGGCTGGCATGGATCAGTGGTTGAGCATTGACCTAAGAACCAGGAGGTCATGGTTCGATTCTGGGTCAGGGCATATGCCTGGGATGCAGGTTCAATCGCCAGAAGGGTGTGTGCAGGAGGGAATCAATCAATGATTCTCATCACTGATGTTTCTATTTCTCTCCCTTAATAAAAATAAATTGGCACATAGAAATACAAAGTAAAAATGACTGACACTACACAAATTTTAAGTATTTTGTTTTCCCTACAGTTGGGAAAGACAAAATAAGATTAGCTTGCATTAATCAGACTTCTATCAAAACTAGGTTTTGCCACTTTATTACACTACTCTAAAGAATAAAAATGTTAAAGCGATTGGTAGGCTTGTGTAGCCATGGTAAACTCTCCATAGTCAAAGGCTGTTTTCTGCAGTCTGCACAACTGTACACATTTATACAATACAGCATTTGATGAATACTCAATTGAGGTCTACCCTTCAGATTATCTTCTCAGGAAAAAGATGCTAAATGAGATGGTAGGATTTAAATCTTCCCAAACTGATTGTATGGGGAGGAAACCTTAAAACAACAATGCAGAAAAGGGACAGAGCACAGCTGAGCTCTGCACCTAGCAGATGACTAGAAGGAACACAGGAGTCAAAATAAGACTTTGCAGCCTGGTTACATATTATACTAGCCTTTGGGTGAAGAACTCATCCCACTCAACATACACGGAACAAATACCTATCACTGCCAAGCACTGTCCAAGAAGGCCTGTTGTTCTCAAGGACTTACACTCTTCTACCTGGTGTGTCCTCAGATGCTGGACTCCAGACTGCTCTGTTTCCGTTCACGAGGCACCATGCACAATTAATGATAAAGCTCTAACTGCCAAAATTCTTTCTCTTCCAGAGAACAGACCTCAAATGAAGAACAGATAGCTACGTTCCCATCTCACCCCAAGTCTCTTATCCTCTTTCAGCAATGTAAGCCTTTCTTTGCAAAGGACAGATGACCAAAATCAACATTTTTGTGACATGAATTCTCTCAGTTGAAAGTACACTGATTTAAAACATGCTTTCTGTCTTCAAGGATCTTGAATCTGGGAGTGGTTGCTGATAAAGAGACAATTTTGGTATATTGATACATATTACCTTTATTAATGTAGTGAGTAAAAAGTGCCAATACTAGTGATAAAATGAACAGCTGTTAAATCCAACAAAAATGAAACAAGGATAAAAAATTACTTGGACGCCCTAACTGGTTTGGCTCAGTGGATAGAGCATTAGCCTGCGGACTGAATGATCTCAGGTTTGATTCTTGGTCAAGGGTACCTTAGTTGTGGGCACATCCCCAGTAGAGGGTGTTGCAGGAGGCAGCTGATCCATGTTTGCCCCTCATCGATGTTTCTAACTCTCTACCCCTCTCCCTTCCTCTCTGTAAAAAATCAATAAAATATAAAAAATATGAAAATATATAAAATAAAATATAAAAAATTACTTGGTATTCCAAAAGCAGTTAATCTTAATATCAATTGAGAGCTCCCTGGACTTAAAACTGTACCTATTAGTTCAATTTAGGAAACTGGGTTTGGAATCCTGGAAAAACACTGTTCAATAAGACAGCTTGTAAAAAGCAAGGTATAATTAGGAATTTTAAATGTTAAGTGCTCTGGGAACAAGTAAGTCTCATAAAAGGTTAGGAAACTCGTGCACAACTGGCACATTTCTAGGAACACAAGCTTGAAAGTTGGCTCTATATATATATCCAATATGCAAAGTGTCTCCTCTGGAGTTCGACGTGCACTGACCACCAGGAACGGAACGAAGGGAGGCCCCTGTTGGCAGCCAGCAGCCTCTAGGGACCCTACCCGTGCACGAATTTTGTGCACTGGGCCGCCAGTAGTTTATAATTATGCTAGATTGGCTCTTGCACAAGCCAAGAACAGTGTAGGCTTAAATGCATTTAAAAGAATGGAAGCTGTTTTCAAGGGGCGGGAAATGTTTAGGGGGGACTGGACTGGCAATCTATAGCACTGAATCCTGGTCTAATTTCTGTCCTAACAGCTTTTTCTCAAAGACTGACTGACAAATGCTTTCTACGGCCCTTCTGTCTCGCACACTATACATTCATAATGATTAAAGACGGTTGAAAACACTAGAGTAATTGCCTCTATTTACAATATTTGGCCTCTGAGGTTAATTTATTACTCATGTTCTACATAAGACTTTCAAAACGCCAGTTTTATTATCATGAAATACACACGACAAGAAATTTATCATTTTAAGCCTGTTAAAGCAGTTACAGCCATTGGTAATCCCTAGAGATACCGGAAGGCACCCTTGGGTTGGTAACTATTCTGAATGACCAATTTTAATGCGAGTTAAGCATTCTACAGAATGTACAGGCTTGTCATGCAATACTGTGTCACTTTCTATCAGGAAGTCTTTAAAAAAAAAAAGCTGTCCTTGCCTGTTACAAGGGTACCTTTCCCCAAAACGCAGAGGGATAAAAAATGTTTAGAACCAATGCTTTGAGAGTTTAATGTAAAAACAAACCAGAGCAAGATGCTCTCAGGAGGGAGATAATGCCTCAGATTACGACTGCCTTGGGAAATCTACATCGAAGAGAGAAGGGAAGGAAAGAGGGTCCTATTATTTTTGTTTAAAAAACTTATTTCCCACGGGCGCTCATTGTCAGCAACTGGTGCTATAGTAACACCACGTTAGAGACTGGCGCCATGGGATCTTATGGTTGATTAAGTTACTTGCCTCATCCCCACTAATCATAATTCCCTTTCATTTCTTTCACTAAAATAAACATGACTTTTCCGTTTTGAGTGGAATCAGAAACGGCTTCCCAAAAGATTCAAGTGTATTCGTGCATACAGCACCAAGAAGACCAAAGTAAAGCCATTCCACCTGCTGGTAATACAAAGATGCTCATGTCTTAAAGTAACATTTCGCATTACCCTGCATCTATTTTTGCAAAAACTTTGTTTCAACCTAACCTCATAATTTCAGAGGGAAACATTTTAAAATGCCCCTGAATTTTGACATAGAAATCTTAATGCTACCTTTAAAAAAAAAAAAAAATCCTCACCAGAGGTATATTTTTCATTGATTTCTGGAGAGAGTGGAAGGAAGGGAGGAGGGGGAGAGAGAAACATCGATGTGACAGAGACACATCATTGATAGATTGCCCCCCGCATGTGCCCCTCCCAGGTTGGGGGAACCTGCAACCCAGTTACTTGCCCTTGACCGGGAATCGAACCCGCGACCTTCAGCCTGTGAGCCGACGCTCAAACCTCAGAGCAAACGGGCCAGGGCTTAATCAGTTACTTTTGAAATGCACCGAACAAGTCCCTTTACTACTACTCTGATCACACAACCCCATTTACTGCACAGGAAGGGGAAACCGTTACCTACTCTTAATAAAACTTTCAAGTTCCACTCTGTCCTCAAGTTATCACAGGGAGATAATTTTGCCTAATTGAACACCTTTACGGTAATTTACACGGAAGGTAGAACCACCACCGTTGATTTTATTTAACCCGGGGCAAGCTAAGAGGCTCCGAAGCATATGGACAACATTCTACACGAAATCCCCTAAAAAAAAACCCATGTGTGACAAGTCTCACCAACTTATCTTACACAACGGCCTGGTGCCTTTACACCTCAATCAGGTTCTCCCACTACCGAGACCGCCTGGAACACAGCCTCCAGCTAACGGAGAGGTCCCCAGGTCACTCGAGTCCACGCCGGTCCCAGCGGGACCGGGGCGCAAACCCCAGCCGTGGGAGACGGGAGGGGGCGCCCCAAGTAGCGCCGGGCAGGGGTTCCGACAAACGCGGGCGCCCCTCGGCGTGGAGGAAGGGGAACCCGGCCCGCCGATCCTCCTCCGAGTTCCGCGCGGCTTCGCGGCCGGCACCTGCAGTTCTCCCCTGGGTTAGAGCGGGAGCGGGGAGACCTCCAGGGCCTGCAGCATGCAGCGCTCGAGCCCTGGCCGCCCCGCGGGTTTCCCCGGAGAGATTCCCTCCAGGGCCTCGTCCCTCACCAGCACCCCACAGGGCCAGCGGCGAGAGGCTCCGGCCTCCGACACTGGCGACCGGGGGCAGGCACGCATCCTCCCGGCCAGGGGCGGCGCCTCCGGGAAGCCGGCGCCTCCGGGAGGCCGCCCCCGTTTGAAACTTAGCGCGGCCGCCGCAGCGCCCCAGGCCCTAGGGGCGCCTCCGGTTCCTCTTCCGCCCGCGTCCCTAGGGGCATCGGGGCGGCAGCCGACACGCCCCTCCCCGAGCTCCCGGCACGCCTCGCGCCCCCAGCGCTCAGCCCCCATCTTCCCCGACCCCACTAGGAAAGCTGCGGAAAATGGCGCCTTAAAGCGCCCGCGCCCACCTTGCCGAAGTGCGCGGCCCAGTGCACCGGCGTCCAGCCGTAGAAGGAGTCCTCGGCGACCAGGTGGGCGCGCGGCGCCTGCTGCAGCAGCGAGCAGAGCGCGGCCAGGTCTCCGTCGCGGCAGGCGCGGTGCAGCGGGAAGCGGAGCGACAGCAGCTCCTCACTAGAGAAGCCCGCTTCCACGCCCGGGCACGCTCCCGCCGCCGACATGGCCAGTCACCGAAGAGTGGGCGCGGGCGGGCCGAGAGGACGCACCGGGGAGGACCTGCGAGGCCGCCGCCGCCGCCGCCACCCGAGCACAATGGAGCGAGTGTAGCGCCGCCGCCGCGTCCCGCCGGCTGCCCAGCGCCGCGCGCACGGGGGCGGGGCCTCGGAGGCCGGGCCGGGAAACGCGGAGACTGGAAGGAGGCCGGAGCCGCGGGGAGGAGCCCGGCGGGGCCGGAGATGGAGCAGACGCCTGGGGCGGCGGGCTGAGCGCGGTGGGGATCTGGGGAGGGGCCGAGACGGGAGGCCGTTCGGAGGCAGCCGGGGTGGAGCCGCCGGCGTTGGAGGGCCGGGAGGGGGCGGGGCCTGGCGCGGCCGGGCTGAGGCCTAGGGCTGCGGGGGGCGGGGTAGCGGGGGAAACGACGGCTGGAGCGCGGTGGGGGGGTATGGGGGGGCGTAGAGGGGTGTTGGGGCCTGTGGTTGGCAGAGGAGCGGTGCCAAGGCTGCCCCCTGGTCCGGCTGGTCCCTCGGGCTCTGGACCGCGCCCCCTTCGCAGGCCCCAGACCCCAGGCCCGGCAGGAGTCCGGATCGTCCCGCGGGGGGCGGCCCAGCCGCGGGGCCTCCGGGCAGAAGCCCGCCCCACTTAATAAAAAGCGCCAGGAAAAAAAAAAATAATAAAAAAAAAATAAAAAGCCCCGGGAGGCTTGGGGTTTTGCGACTCTCCAGAAGCGGGATTCAGGGTCCCTGGGAGGTTTCGGCCCGCGCGCCCGTAGTCCTCAGTTCCTCCTTTGGGGGAGACCACTAAGATCTGAGGCCCAGGCCCGGAGCGGAGGTTGAGTTCCCGCGCTTCTGCCCTAATTGGAGCGCGCGCTGGTCGTTTTTTTCGAGAACAGACAGCAAAAATAAAGAGAAAAATACTGCTGCATGCAAAGAAATACTACATTATTTTTCAATGCCTGAGAACCATTGTTTTTTAAGTAGGTTTTTTTCCGACCATGAGTAAAACGGGAAAATTATCAATTTCACTATAGGGGGATAACCATTATTAACGTTTTTAAAAAATATATATTGATTTTTAAAAATATATATATATATTATTGATTTTTTTACAGACAGGAAAAGAGAGAGGTAGACACATTGATGAGAGAGAAACATAGATCAGCTGCCTCCTGCACACCCTCCACTATGGATGTGCCCTTAACCAGAATCGAACCTGGGACCCTTAGGTCTGCAGGCCAACACTCTTATCTACTGAGCCAAATCGGTTAGTGCTGTATTTTATTGATTTTTATTCAAAGAGGAAGGGAGAGGAATAGAGAGTTTGAAACATCAATGAGAGAGAAACATGGATTAGCTGCCTCCTGCACACCCCCTCCTGAAGATGTGTCTGCAACCAAGGTACATGCCCTTGACCGGTATCAAACCTGGGACTCTTCAGTCCATAGGCAGAAGCTCCATCCAAACCGGTTAGGTCCATTATTAATATTTATGAATATTTACATAACAGTCGTTTTCTAACCATATAGTTTGTTTTGTACATATTTGTTTTCCTTGTGTATATTGCTTTCCTTTTTTTCTTTTACAGAATTTTAATAATAGTAAACTATAAGTAGGTTACCACATATTTGGGAAAATATTGATGCATAATATAGTACATTGCAGCATTAGTTAATAAAACAATAAATTAGAAACAGTGCCTAGCAAAAGGAATGACAGCTATCTATACAACAATGAATGAATGAAACACAATGGGAAATGCTCTAGTGAGAGCAAGTGAGAAAAAGTTGCAAGAATTCAACTCAGCAACTACTAAAAAAATGGGAAATATGAATGAGATTTAGAATCTGTCTGGTGTCAAGGAATTTATAATCTAGAGGCCTGGTACAATGAAATTCATGCAGGGGCGGGGTAGGAGAAGGGGGTCCCCCTCAGCCCAGCCTGCACCCTCTCCAATCTGGGATCCCTCAGGGGATGTCGACTGCCAGTTTAGGGGGATCGGGCCTAAACTGGCAGTTGGACATCCCTCTCACAATCCGGGATTGCTGGCTTCTAACTGCACATCTGCCTGCTGACCTGGTCGTCCCTAACTGTCCCTCCCCTGCTGGGGCCTGGTCACCCCTAATTGCCCCCTCCCTTCCACTGACCTGGTTGCCCCTTACTGGGCCTGAAATACTTTCTTGAACTTCCTAGGAGAGAGACATCCCATTTTGCAAAAGGACAAAAGCATGCCTTACTCGTGATAAAGAGAGGGAGGGATTACCCTTTCTTACAGACATTCTACAAAAGATGAAACTGAGACACAGATAAGCTAAGGAATTTGCCCACGGACAAAGTTTCTGCGTGCCTATGACAGAGATCAGAATAATATCCAGACCTAGTTTCTAACCCATTGTTAAATTTTTTTAACCTTAGAATGTATTTTTCATGAAGAGGAAAACAAGTTATAGTGATAGGATTCTTAGAGTGCATCCTTCCTCAATTAATATGACTTCCTGTTTTTTTAGGGTTTCTTGGACTATATACATATACACATTTAGGTAATTTTAGAGAAATAGAACAACATATATAGGGTGTCCCCTCCAAAATGTATACACACCCATTCAATATTTAAGAGTGTTAATTAAAATACACTTCATTTTCAAAATTGAGCTATCAGGTGTTAAAGTATGTATACATTTTTTAGGACACCCTGTATATGGTGAATTCCTAAAATATATATATGTGGATATGAGAATTATAAGGGTGTCTATTGAGTACTCCCAGATGCTAATGTTCCAACTAGTTGATCCTAAGTTTTGCCCAATTCACAAATTTTATCAATTTCTGATTCTCTTTAGGACTCTTATTTCTAAAAAGTTCTAGGAAAAATGAAAGAAAAAAAAAGTAGATTTATAACTCACATCCTTTGATTTTACTTGACAAAGCAACCATAAATTAATGATAAAGATTCTCTCCTTGACTAAACTGTTCTGGCCCCCCTGAATTTAAGCTAGGCCTTGAATTATGGACTTGTGAGTTTGTTTCTGTATTATCCAATTTTAGTAACAATACTAAGTTGGTTTAACTAGAATTCCCTTCACGCCATTTATGATCACCCTTGATGTCTAATCTGGTTTCTCATTACCTGCAACCCTCAGGTGGTATTTGCTCACACTGGCCTGCCTTCAGCAAGAATCCTGTCAGGTTGGTTTAGCCAGAATCTTTGCTGTTTAGTTAATGTTTCCACTTAACCATTTTCCATCCATGGATACCCACCCACCTTGTGCTGTGGCTATCCATCCAACTTGTTTATGGTGCATTGAAAATTGAGTTTGGTATTGTTAGGTCTGATCAAATAATTGAATAGATACCCACTCCCCTGGGAACTGAGCTTTAGACCACTTCACAACCAACATTCCCTTTCATTAAACCACATTCCACTTGCTAAGACCATTATCCTTCCCCTCTGGAACTTCTCAGGATCTGAACCCGCCCTGAGAATTCTATACCCAGAAAAAGCCTGAGTTCTTTAAAATCTCTGACTCCCCCACCCCTGGGTGCTAGTGCCATTTGGAGGATCAGCCCATCTAGGTTCCAAATGACCTAATAAATTTGTAATCCCTTACCACATTTGACCTCTTGCACTCCTCCTTCAGTGACCCTAACAGATATCTCCCCACGGCAAGCAATAATGGGGTCTTACCCGTTGCAGTGGTCTCTGTACCAATCGTGATGACCTCACTTGACTAAAAATCTACCTACCATGCCTTAACAAATGCCATTGAACAAGTTTCTTCTTTGCATAATAATTTTTTTCTTTAACCTACCAAATTTGGATACTTGAAGATGGGATTCAAATACATGAAAGAAAATAGGAAGACTCCAGATTCAATGTATCAAAACTAAATCCCAAAAACCTCTATTAGGATTGGCATTGTGGTTTTCCAAAGAAGGATCGTGTTGTGTGAGGAACTGGTCAAGTGGGGCAGGGCTCAGTTAAAGGGTGTCACAGTCAGAAATGCATAGATGTGTACACATACTTGGTACTCCGGTGGGCCTCTTCTGAGAACTGTTATGCTTGGGACATAGTGAACAGCGTGTGGTGGGAGATGAGGTTGAACAGGAAGCCAGGGTCCCAGGCTATACCTCAAACTAAGGAGCTGTCTTTAATTTCTGAAAGTGTAGGGTCAGTGAAGGGTTTTGCTGTAGGGACTGGTGGGGCCCTGAGGGAGAACCACACCTGACTTACAACTGATTCTATGTATTATAGATCCCACTCTGATGATGCCTTCACTTTGGCCCAAAAGTGGGACCAAAATCTTACTGTTCTCTAATCTGCCTTTCCTCTCATCCCATCCACATCCCACCATGCTGCCAGACCCATCTTTTAAAAAGGAAAATCTGCTTAAAATTGGACTAAGAACAGTGTTTGGGTCTGTCCAGACTGCCATGACAAAGTGCCTTAGACTGGTTAGCTTAAATCAGCGATCGCCAACCTTTCAACCTCACAGACCACCAGTGGTTCGTGGGCCATCAGTTGGCGATCACTGCTCCAATGATTTCCTCAAACCAGCGGTCACCAACCTTTCGGACCTCATGGACCACCAGTTGGCGACTGTTGGCTTAAACAACAGATGTATTTCTCACAGTTCTGGAGGCTGAAGTCAGAGATTAGGGTGCCAGTACAATTGGGTTCTAGCAAGAAGCCTCTTCCTGATTCATAGATAGCTGCCTTCTTGCTGTGTCCTCTCTTGGTGGAGAGGGAGAGCTCTCTCATGCCTCTTAGAAGGAAACTAATTCCATCATGGGGCATCATCATGACCTCATCTAACCCTAATCACCTCCAAAGGCCCAGCTCCAAATAGCATCACATTGCTATGAGTTTTGGGGGAACACAATTTCCCAAACTTTGGTCATTCAGGTACCACCTCCATGTGAATTTCACAGCTATGTAGATATTTAAAAATATATATTTTATTGATTTTTTACAGAGGGGAAGAGAGAAGGATAGAGAGTTAGAAACATTGATGAGAGAGAATCATCCATCAGCTGCCTCTTGCACACGTCCTACTGGGGATGTGCCCGCAACCAAGGTACATGCCCTTGACCGGAATCGAACCTGGGACCTTTCAGTTCGCAGGCCAACGCTTATCCACTGAGCCAAACTGGTTTCGGCTGTATATTTTTATCTATGTAGGATTTGTGCTATTCATATTTTTTTTAAAAATATGTTTACTTATTAAAATTTACCAATTTATTCACATCCTCTCCATTAACAAAACATC